ACTCTGCGCTTCGTGCACAGACATCATGTTTTCCTGAGTTTATCTGCAATCCCATAACATCGACACGACCTCACAAATACACTTTCATCCCTGCTACAGAAGCACTGCAGGCAGGCGCTGCCCTTGATTAGCTCATTCCCAAACTGCGAGGATATGAATCTTGCCGCTTTGCACTCCCATGGATCCGTCTCGTGTGTTTGATGCTGCGGCCGCCCACCGTCAGAAATCTCACTGTGGCTGCTGTGATGATCTGCCAGTCCCTCACTGTCCAGCTGCCCCGAAGCTAAATGTTCCAGATAATCTCAGCTCACCTACAGACATAATAATTGGACCTCTGCGGGGTGCAAAATTGTGAGAAGAAACAATTTTCCACAAGTAACTTTGAAAAGGAAAATACAAGTTTTCAAGGCTTTGTAGGTCCTGGATAGTAGTACTTCGATCAGTGAGCAACATTTACGAACAGGGCTGGGGAAGATGATTTTGTTTACATGCAGTCAATAACTTTGAAAACCCGAATATTGACAGCATCCATCCATTCATCCATTTTCTGATCCGCTTATCCTCACAAGGGTCGTGGGGCATGCAAGAGCCTAATCCAGCTGTCTCCAGGCAGTAGGCATGGTACACCCTGAACTGGTTGCCAAGGAATTTTGATCTTTGTAGTACAGGAAGCACTTAACCGCCGGCCATCTCACTTGAATAACTTGAATACATTGATATCCCCGCCGCGTTTTCACATTATGTTCTGTCTCTGCGGTGAAAAATGACACAGTGTGTGGGTAATATAGACACATATACGTCTGCATGTCTGGCGGCCAACTGGCCAGAAATACAAAATCATCGGTAAACAATCACAGCAAAAATGCAGAGACAGAGCATAGCAGCGCACTTTGGGAGTTAACCCACTGCTTTATTCCTGTGGTGGAGTGACACGAATATCAGGTGTTTTATCGACGGTAGAAGATAACAAGCGGGGAAACGAGGCTTATTTGTGTCGCTACGTTGTCCCTGCGTTGCCGATTAAATCGGGATATTCAAACGCGGGAGTAATTCTGTCCGCTTACGTATGTCAAGGAGTTATTCCGAAGGGTTGGGAAAGCGGAATTTTTGACCTGAACCCGGATATTGACTGCAACGTAAATGTAGTCGACGAACACAGTGTCAATAAGGCCAGGAAAGAAAAATGCTGAAAGAGCTGCGTGGTCAGCCGAGATTGACTCGAGATCACGGGCAGCGTAAATCGCTCCGCTCCACAGCCTGTTAGCTAAGGGGACACATTTGATGTCTAAAGCCAGTGAGTCCAGCTGCTCTGGAGGCTAAATGAAAGTGAGCTGAACAAACAGAAACTGCCCTGTTAGGTTTGATGTGTTAGCCTCGCAGTAGGTCCTAATCGTGTTACCCACAGCAGAAAAAAAAAAAGAAAAAAGGACAGTGGGCACATTGACGGTGTAATGGAATACAGTCGAAGAATATTGGAGCATGTGAAGTAGCGAAGCCATCACAAAAAAAGAGGTTTGTACGTATGAATTAGGGCGACATTTTTTTCCAAGCACAATCAGAGGAGCAAAAAAAACGAGCACCATTTTTGCAAACCCAAAAAAAGCATTTCTGCGGTCGACTCAGTGCCGCGGTGGGATGCAAGACAACAAAAAGCAAATGGCTTGATGGAAGTGACCCACAGTGGACGTTAAAAGTGAAATACAATGTCTTATTGTATTTCCATATAGTTAGCAGGATAGCGATGCGATGCACAGTGGGGGGTTTTTGGTGGTTTCATCCTCTGCTTGAGTTTGTTTCATTTTGTGTTGTCTTCAAGCATTTTGGAATTCAAGGCAAATTCCGTTTACATTCTGTTGTGTATATTTGTTTTGCAAAGAACCAGAGCACACACTCGTGCCACTGAGCTGGCTCGGTGGTTTTTATTAACCTTGGCAGTAGTCATGCTGGCCTCGTGTTTACCCAAAAACATTTTTTTTTTTTTTTTGGGCAGCGGGACTGTAAATGCGATCATGTGCCTTCTGGAATGAAAAGGCATACAGATCCCCCATATTGTATGACTAAACAGCCCAACAGGTTACAAAATGTGATTTACATAAATAAACACATTTGGAAAAAAGTCTTTCCGCATAAGCTCCTGCCACCCATATGTTCTCTCCTTGTTTGCGTGGGTTTTTTTTTTCTCTCCGGGTACCTGCAGTTTAGTCTCAGATTAAAAAAGAAACACGAAAGCTCACAAATGACTTGAAATATGGTGTGAATGTGCGTGAAAGCTTATTTGTTGATATGCATCCCATGATTGACCGTGAACAAGATATGTGCTTGAAAGCGAATGGATGAATATGGGGATGCTGCACTCAACACAAAAGTCTCCCATCATCCCCCCCGCAATTCTCTCCCCCCACTCCCCACCTTTATTTTCAAGTGTACATCCAGTAAGTTGTCTAACGGAGCCTTAAAATGATGGATATTATGTTGTCTTCAAATCATCATCTCAACAGATGATGTTGATTAGGTTGAAGAAATTGCGTTTGAAGAAAAAAAACATAGTTGTTTTAGGCTTTAATTAGGAGAACTGTCAGCGAGACGTCGCCAGCGTTAATGCGTCTGTGTCCTCGGGCACTGAGCGAGGATTCAGATGTGCTGGGAGAACCCACTGACAGAATAAACAAGAGCCGATGAGGATAATAAGATGATCATAAGCCCATTAGTACAAATGTGGAAAAAGTAGCAGGGAATGGAGCAGCGGCATGGAGACCGGTGGTCCCCAACCTTTTTTGTGTCACTCAACTCTTGATTCAACTCAACTGTATTTCTAGAGCAGGGGCCCCCAACCTTTTTTGCCCCACGGACCGGTTTATGTCAGACAATATTTTCAGGGACCGGCATTTAAGGTGTGGCGGAAATAATACAACAAAATAATATGGTATGAGCTGCATGAAAACTGTGGTGTTTTCGAAACGGGCACTGAGCGAGGATTCAGATGTGCTGGGAGAACCCACTGACAGAATAAACAAGAGCCGATGAGGATAATAAGATGATCATAAGCCCATTAGTACAAATGTGGAAAAAGTAGCAGGGAATGGAGCAGCGGCATGGAGACCGGTGGTCCCCAACCTTTTTTGTGTCACTCAACTCTTGATTCAACTCAACTGTATTTCTAGAGTACTTTAAAACAACCACCGCTGTATACAAAGTTCTGTACATGGAGCAAATATCATATACACAACAATAAAGAATAAAAAAATAAATACTAAGTCACGGACCGGTTGAGACAAGCACATGACATTCGCGGACCGGGAACCTTTTTTGTTTTTCCACTGCTTTTGAACTGTCAGTTTTAAAGCGCTGGCAAGACCAACAAACATGATTATGGAGTAATTTAACATTTTATTAACATCATTTTTTTTTTCAGTCATTTTTTTTCATTCATTCCACGGTACAATTGTAGAATAACATTTTAAAAAAAACACTGAACTACAAAGAAATGGACCAATTAGGAATAACAAATACACCTTAAAAATGTAAACATAATTGTTTTTTTGAAGTTATGATCCTACATACGGCGTTAGCGCACTGAAACTTGGTTTCACTACAAATTATATCTCTATTTTAGATTTTTGGGTATTAACCCTTTCATACACAGACGATGATAACCTGTAACCTGATAATATGATAAACTGTCCACTGTAGTGACCTCTGTCCCTCAAAGGGTTAAAGGTCAAACTAAAAAAAAAAAAAAAAAAAACACATTCTAATGGGATCTTCCTCACCAGTTACTCAGTACTTGAATTTGTTTTCCACTGAATTCTTACTCACAATTTGAAGGAACGGAGTAAAACCTTACTTTTACTCAAGTCGTATGAGTTCACAGCGATAAGATTCTTACTTGGAGTGTAATTTTACCAAGTCTATGCACTTCAGCTCACCAATGTTGGTGAATGATACCAATGCAGATGTCAGAGCTGCAACACGAAGTCTTCAATTAAATATCGAGTCGTATGCACGTGAAGTACTCGGTGAGGAGAATGGATGGATGGTTGGATATATATCCTGAATATTTGTTCGGCTGCTGTGCCGCTTCAAGCTTGCATCAGTGTTCAACACATTTGGAGGCGACGAAGAAGTTATGTCAAATGCAGTGATCTAAAGTGAAAGGGGAAGAAGAACCCAGCTAATCCATTTACGACAGTAAGTTGAGCTGTCTGCAGGGAAATCCCTAAATATGGGTAATGCCGCGGCACGCCGATTTACATTGTTGCTCCGACAATCAGCGTCTTCCCATCCTCACTCAAAGGCTGTCGGACAATCTTGGACGGGAGCGGAGCTTTGGGTAAACCTCTTTAGCACGCAGATCAAGCGGCAGCAAACAGACTGAAAGGCTCGAGGCTCTCAGCGTGTTTCGAGGATTCGGTCCAGGGTGGCTCCAAACCAAAGACAACAGCAAAATAGCAAATGAGGAAAATCCTTCAATCTGGCCACTGGCATGGCCAAGCATCTCAATCAAGCGCAACCATTAGCTCCGTCACAAGTAGTCTGAGCCTCCGGAGCCCAGAGGCAAGGTTTTTGCTCAGCCAAGTCCAACAATCAGTAAACAGCAAGCACACTGACACCCTGAGATAAAGCCGTTCCGGTTCGGCTGGATGACTTCAATATGCTCCCATTTCAAGATTTTGTCCTGTTACGCGGTCTCATGTGTGTGCTATTAAAGTACTAAAGGGGTAAAGCCGGAAAAGCAGTTTAACCAGAAAACATGATAATTGAGATGGAGATTGAAGCTGGGGCGGGGGGGCTGGAACAAGGCGCTAGTATATGATAGCCATTCTTAAACTGTATTCTCACTGGTGCTTTGAGTTGGAAGCCATAGGGGAGCATGCAGATGAACAACAATGTACTTTTCTTTCAGCCAAACAGCAGTTGAAACGCTCTTAATTTGCAAACAGTCGACATGAGTCGGTCCTGGAGTTTCATCAGGGGAAAAAAAAAAAAAGTCTACTCCTTACCTTCACAGTAAGTCGAATCCCCTTGAATGGAGGCAAAGCCACGCTTGCATTCACACTCCGCTTTCGTATCCCTGTTTTTGCACAGAGAGTTTTCTCCACAGATGACCCCTTCTGCGCAGAAGTCGTAACCTAAAAAAAAAAAAAAAAAGAAGATAACAGCAAGGTTTCAAAGCTTTGCGTGGTTTTCCATAAGTTGCCACATATCTGTCACCAACTCTAGCCGGGATACAATACATCTTTATTTGTACTGCGCTTCCGCGGCAGCTGCAGCTGTTAACAAAGCATTTGACATAAAATGACAAGAATACAACAGAAAATCCTTCCATTTTGAATATGCAGAAAAACAAATTAAAAAATCTGATCTGAATTTTAACACATGGTGAAAAATAAAGAAAATCAAAAACAATAAAAATGTACTCAAAAAAACTATTAATGAAGAAAACAACAAAAGCAGAAGAAAATGAGCAGCTCAAGCTATAAAATAGCAAAAGAATAAAACAATCTAAAACAAAGCAAATTATCCGTGAAAAGATAAAATGTATTAGAATTCGGAAAAAAAGATGGCCCAATTCAAAAATAAGAAAAATCAATCATGTATAATCAAAAATTACTGAGTGCACCGCCACCACACATTGCACGACTACAAGGCGTGTCGAAATGAAGCACGACTCATAATAAAATCAAACCAAATCTAATCAGATCTTTACACATGATCAATTACAACCACCGTCACGCAGGAGACTTAAAATCAAAACATGAGTCGCACTCGAGTTTGGAGCCAGCTTTAATTTGTGATCGCTTACAAAATAAATGTTCCTCTTGCCCCCACTTATTTCCGATGCCAATTTCAACATTGTCAGTTAAAAATGTCATCTCATAGTAATATCATCAACTCTTTCCGGTAGCCGCTATGGGATCTCAGCCAAGAAATATTCAGACCGGCTTACAGAGAGAACGAGTGTTGCAAGGGTGCAGATTGTACTCACATCACTAAATTTGTGTGCGCGAAGGGCTAAAATGAACACCTGAAACAGGCACGCTAAGAGACATACCTTGACAAACATTGCAGCATCTCCCGTCTCTCAGTACCTGTTCACTGACGGAACAGTTGAGCTCTGGACAGGTTTCTGTCACTTTCACCATCAGGCCATTCTGCAAATGAGAGTGCAGCATATAAAGTTGAGAGCAAATTGAAATTGTTTTCTTTCTCTTGTGTCGTTTTTACTTTGATAAATGAACACCAATGTTTGTTGCCCGCCTTCCGCATCGCCTTCTCTATTCCCAGAATTTTGCCTTGTATTATCTTGCCGTTCAACCAAAATTCTTCATCAGGCGAGCGCCGTGAAGGCGCTCATGTGCGACTACTTACTCCTCGTTTTCATTTTATTTGTCAAATCGTATTTGACACCAGCAAGTTGATCGCTGTAAACCCAGAACCCCTCGTCAAATCTGAACAGGCATAGACGCAATGAAATGGAATCAATCTGTGTGGAGAAGGAGTAAAAATCCGTAGCCTGATTCGATGATCTTTTCAGCTAAGCCCATAACAGGTTGCCACCAAAAAAAAATAAATAAATAAAATGAAGTTCAGACGTGAAATTCACAACCTTCCCCCTTGATCCAGGTTTGGGAAGAGCACTCAAGCTATCCATCTGCTGAGGGCATCAGCTGGGAAACCGGAAGGCAGCAACCGAACACTGCCAATGCATTATTAATTAGTTAATTTATTTATTGAGTTCATTGGGACAGTGCACATTCATCAACGCAAGAATAAAGCGTGTAAATGCGCCCGACTTAGCGTAAATGCTAGTTTTCAGCCAATGTCTCAAGGCAGGTTTCAATAATAGCACAGTGAGACACATAAAACTTTAAAACTGCGATGACAGAAATAGGATGCAAATAGGTAAGACAATAAAACAGACAAGGGCGGCCCAGTGGGCGAGTGGTTAGCGCGTCGACCTCACAGTGCAGAGGTACAGGGTTCAATTCCAGCTCCGGCCTCCCAGTGTGGAGTTTGCATGTTAACCCTGGGCCTGCGTGGCTTTTCTCCGGGTACTCCGGTTTTCTCCCACATTCCAAAACATGCATGGCAGGCTGATTGAACACTTGAAATTATCCCAGAGTGTGAGCGTGATCGCGGATGGTTGTTCGTCTGTGTGTGCCCTGCGATTGGTTGGCAACCGGTTCAGGGTGTCCCCCGCCTACTGCCTGAAGACAGCTGGGATAAGCTCCAGCACCCCCCGCGACCCTTGTGAGGAGAAAGCGGATTGGAAAATGGATGGATGGATGGATGGGTTGGGTTGCACATATTGAAATGTTTTGCAGTCCGGATCTTCGCCCTAGGAAATCCCCTACAACCGGAGCCTTCCAAATTTGATTGAAGATCCTGGCTTTACATTCACTCATATTGCAGTTCCGCATTTTAAAGAATAATTCATGGTTCCAGAAATATTGTGTATGTCGTGCCTTGTAGGCACATATCCACCCACAATGCCAGTTTTGTCCGTAAAAATGTGTCTTCACAGATAAACGGCCTCGCTGTGAATAATACTCACCTCTGACCAATGCTTAACATGAAGAATGCCTTTAATTAGAATCCAATGCAGTGATAAAACAGCGGGTCAAATCAGGTCTTTGTATTTCTGCATTCATTAGTTGTTTTTTTGTTTTTGTTTTGTTTTAATTACCTGGCTTTTTGATCAAACGCAGGCAAATGAACCGAGTCAATGGAAAACAAATGACTTAATGAATTCTACAACAAGGAGTCCAATACGGGCGGTCCCTCCACACACTCACGTGAGAAGACAAATGCAGGCCGGTGAACTGATTGCAACATAAAAGGCGAAACAGAGCACCAAAAGAAGTGTTACCTTGCATTCCCTGCAGCTCCTGGATAAAAGGCGTTGGCCCTCAGACAAGACCTGTCCCATGTAACTGCATTTTGCTGTCGAGGGGGGTGGGGAGAAACACTCAATTTAGGCGGGAGAAAACTGAAATCTATTTTTAAAAAATAAATAAATAAAACAGGACCATGTTACGACATCCTAGTACTTTAAACAACAATGAACCCAATGAACAACGCGTGATTGCACACCAACATGGTTTTAAGGCAAACACAGCCAGTTAATTCAGTCAGGAAAATGACTTGTCCTTGGCGAGCGAGCCCCAGCAGGGGGTGGGGTGAAATGTAACAGTGCATTAAGAATACAACAGAAGAGACGCTTCTACATATTCCTCTGGCAATAAAAAGCAGAAATAGAAAATGAAGCCTATCGTGTGAAGTCCTGCTTTCCTCCTCCCCCGGGTGCAGGGCCACGGAGCTCACGCTCGCGACTCTGGAACATAATTCCCTTGTTTGCCCGTGCTGGAGTTGTGATGTTCAGATGGGAAGAAAAGGAGGAAGACCGGGCATGCGGAGTGATAGAGAAAGGAATAGTGAGGCTGGGATTATTAAATCTATGCAGAAGGGATTGCCAGGTTTGCAGAGCAGCAAGATACACGGCCGGCCATGGATTTTGGAGCATTTAACAAACATATATTCGATATTCTTGAACTACAGTGGCTAGTGCCCATCCGCCAAGATGTTTTTGCCCCCACACTTGAGGCGTGGATCTCAAAAATGGTGCTGCTGTTAAATCCAGCTTCTTTCACCTTAGGCAGGTGGCGAAAGTAAAGTCTCTCCTTTCTCAAGAGCACGTTGAAACAGCAAGTCATGCCTTTGTCACATCCCAGCTGGATTACTGTCATGCGCTTTACTTTGGAGTCAGCCAGTTCTCCATGAAGCGTCTCCAGTTGGTCCAGAATGCTGCTGCTCGCCTCCAGACTGGTACTCGTTAAGAGGGAGCACATAATTCCTACTCTGGCGTCCCTTCATTGGCTCCAATATAGTTTAGAGTTCTTTATAAGATCCGAATATGTGTTTTTAAATTCGCAGGATTAATTGACGGGTACTTCAATGTTGGCCCCTAAGAGTCCTGAATATTTATTTTTTTGTGTGTGGTGTTATGTAATCCAATGACATATCGTAAAATGTGTAGATATTTATAAATAATAAGAGCCAAATGAGGACGCTGGGTAGACAGGTACACAAATAGTACAGAAAGCGAGGAGAGAGTGTGCAAATGTGTTTCATCCAGAAAAAGGAGCCAAATGACTCTTTTGACATCGAAAATCAAATTAAATTGGGGGAATTGTAGTTTACTTTATTCCACTATTCCACATTAGTTAGTGACCTTTTTTTTTAACACTCAAAAGATACTCAATTTAAAAAAAAACTAAAATGAATATTAATATTCTGAAAGACTATTTGTTTTTCCGCATGCAGCTCCGTTGTATCAACTCTTGCTACGATTGATGGTCAATCTGAATGTATGGCATCTAAGTGCCCCAGTGCGATGCGACCGTTTGGAAAAATGGCAGTCAGGCACTCATCACAATCTTCCATAAGATGTCGGGGTGGCCAGTGGGGTGGCCAGAGGGTGGCCCCCTCCATTGGCCGCCACGTTGCTCCACCCCTGGAGAAGCGTGCGCTATGTCTGCGATGTGTACTCACGTCTGCATTTCTTACAGCAGGTCCCATCCACGTGCACTGGCAATGAGTCCTCTGAGCAATTTGTAGGCGGACAGAAAATCCTGCGGCACTCTACCACTCCATTCTGGAAGAAAATTTTTCACATAAAAAAAAAAAAAAGTTCAAATCATGTTGGTAAAATGAGTAAAATGCAATTATTTTCTGGGAACATGAGTTTGCACAGGAGAGTTGACAATCCACTTTTAAGCGGCAAAGTAGAGCACATACTAACTATTTATGTATATTAAAAAAGGAGATTAATGGCTGACACTCAATTTGTAATTATTATAGGCTGACATTACCACCAAGTTATTGCGACAAAGGAAAAACGACACATAAGCAATAACCTGTTTATTTTCTCAACATGGGGGGAGTGCACGTTTTATTGTAATCATGTTTTAATTAGGGCTTTGAATATAACCAGTTCAATTCTAATGAGAAGAATGGAGGAAGAAAAAAAAAAGAGAATGCTTTCAAGCGTTATTCACACATTTCCATTTCTGCACTCCAGCTGAGAGAAACATTCATAACATTAATCCAAATGCAGTGAGTGAAGGCGCCAAGAGCATGATGGGGGAGGAAAAAAAATAAGATGCGATGTTTGGCCTGCTGGATAGCTTCAAGTCATCACATGTGTCATGAAGAGTAAAACAAATCCGGTTTGATTAATACATGAGATTCACTTTTAGTTCTTACATTGTTCGATTGATTTTCTTTTGCTATAACTATAAAACCAAGTGCGCCGCTGCAGTCTGTTTGCGCTAAAAACGTTACAAATGTAAGCCAAACATGCAAGATATTGCAACTTACCTAAAACTGGACGACCAAACAAAATGGAAATAAATTTAGAAGTGAAGAGCGCAGTTCACAGATCTTCTTCAAAACATTTGTTCAGAATATAACCTGCTCTTTTCGGGATTGCGCTCTGGCTGCCGTACAAAAAAAACACCTTTTGTATTTCTCCCGATTACTGTCCGGCACTGTGGGCCAAAAATCGGATATTATTTGTGGCATGGAAAACTGACCAAATATCCTCTATACATTATGGTTCCCCTTTCATGTTTGGATGATTTTTTTTTTTTTTGGTGGGGAAATAAGGTCAGAGGCGTGATTCAAACCCAGAGCCTTGGACTGTGAGGCGGACACCTAGCCACTTGCCCCAAACCAGGTATACGCACGTAGTTATTCGTACGGTGCCGTCGTGCTTTCAAAACATTAAAACAAGTGTGACGCTACAATTCACCGACAACGTTCAAGCACCTTTTTCGCAAAACACTTTCACATTAATCACGGTGTCAATAACAAGTTAAAATTTTAGCATCGCCACAAAAGTGCATTTGGCGTACAGCACTTGAATCAGACCGAACGACCAGCCGCTTCTGCGTTGGCTAGCCTGGTGTAAACATCGACTCTCTTAACTGATTCATCGCTCAGTGCTGACGGATGGATGAAGACACTAAGTTGTCGGAGGCCCCGGAGGAGTGACGTGAGTTTTGAAGCTGATGCGTCTTCATTTCATGACTCATTGGAACTAATTTCCCCGGGATACCGCGCATATGGCAAAGTGGTCGATACAGAGGAGCAAATCACACCAACTAAATTCTCTCCAATCCTTGCTCTCCCGTGATACTGTAAATCCGATTCCCAAGGGCTCTCTGTGGCCTGATTCAACACGTTGTAAAGTCTTGGCTAGCGTGTGTGTGAGCAGGCAGGGAGGCTAATTAGAGGGAGATTATCGGGGTGCCGCCCGGAAGCGGCAACGGTATCGGATTTGGCAAAGAAAGCTACCAGCAACAACATACACAGTGTTGTGTTAAATATATTCAAATGATGTTGTTGTTTTTTTCAATGAAGCGTGATCATTTTGTACCACAGATTTTCTCCTTCATGAGGACAAGAGTAACACTCACCTTACATGCGCAGTTCCTGCAATTTTGCGGCTCCGCCCACAGCTCCTTATCTCTATAGACGAGGCCGTTGGCACTGCAGGTCTTCTCGCAGTGACATCCCTCAAGCTGGGTCAGCCTGGACTCGGCGTAATTTAGCTGGGAATGACCATAAAATCACCAGTCACAAAAGTAAATCAAAAAGTCGAACAGCGCCAGCGCGTTAACCCCTCCAGCCCTCTCCGCGGCCCTCTGGAATGCCCACTTTTGTTCAGAGCGCTGCTCCACTGGGAGCCAGTCATTAGAGGAAGAATAATAAGCCATCTTCATTCAGCTCACGCTTCAGACCGTAGGCTAGAAGCTACAGTAAAAAAAAAAAAAAAGACTGCAGACAGACACTCGAACCCTCCTTTCACTCTTCCGCCCTTCTTTCCAGCTTGTTTCATTCCCAATTCTCTTGATGTTGGTCCTTCAACTCTGATGCCTCTCTGACATCCGCCAAAGAACTGTTTGCTCATCTCGCGGTGATACAAATCACTCCTGATTGAAAGAAATGAAAAGGAAAGACGACCGGGTCTGACTGCTAATATTTTTTTTAGTTTATTGCATTCGTTTCCGACCAAAATTAAATAAGCACTGTATAGAAAAACTGTAGTTTGAGTGTTAAAATACACCCGTCACAGTTTTCAGAAGTACCGCCATTTTTTTTTTCCTTCCTTTAAAATGTCGACTTCTTTGCGGTTCCTTGTAAATTGAAATATTCCTGCTTATTTTTCTTCACTTGCGGATATGTTATTAGGGTTGGCAACGAAGACGGGATTTATGATGCGTCACCCGACAGAAGTCGATAATTTAAATTACACGGATGAAAGAAAAATGTGGTGTATCCATGCAAGCAGGACCAGAGTGGGACTCATTTTCAACCCTGAAGTTTCAAGGCTCAGACCGGCCTACTTTACACGACATATTAATGAAGATCTATAACTTTAACCTAACTCGCGCATCAATCTAAAACAACTTATCATTTCCTCCAGTGGTATTCAGTGTTTATTTGAACAAGTCTGAAAACAACTGACCAATAGTCAAGTATAACATATCATGGGAGAAGACACTTTACACTTAACAAGGCAGATTTATTAAACACCATTACCAAGGTAACCATTTGGTAGCTAACGCAGCACTTAGTGTTAGCGCTCTTATTTCAAAACTATCCACTTAGGTGCGCTACTGTGCGGATTGATGCGAACTTTACGATTGCACGGAGACTTTCTCGGTGTGCTTTGTTCTTGTTAAATGTAACAAATGTGACTGTGTTAGGCGACTTTTATGCGCTACTTTGTACAGACAGGCTGTAATGTAGTGATCACGTTTCTAGTCGTGTAGAAAAAAAATGGATCCCTGGATTCCCGGCTTCAAGGGCCATTGAAAATTAATTGTATGGGCTAGGGTAGTGGTACGGGCAGCGCATCCAGCAGCTCAGCCCACTGGGCAATCCCCAGAATGTCCAGATTTACAGCTGCATGCAAGAATAACTTGTCTTCCAACAGGAAAGTCTCAATGTGTCTTGATCCAACTTTTAAATTGCAAAAATATGGTGAAATGAAGGTGTGTTGACGCTTTTTAGAAATCTGCTCTCAATTGATTTATTGCAATCGTGCAATCGTTTGTTGTCAAAGACCAGCTATCGGACCTACCTACCTGATTTACCGTACATACTTCCGGCTGTGCTATAAAACACGTTAATTTATTTGTTAGATATCATTTGAAGGCTCCAGCACGCCTGCGACTCTCGTGATGATAAGCAGATTAGAAAAGGGAGCCTATCCCGGCTGTCTTCGGGCAGTCGGCAGTGTACACCCTGAATTGGTTGCTAGCAAAATCGCAAGGCACACATCGGGACAATTTGGAATGCCCAACCAACCTGCCCTGCGTATTTTTGGAATGTGGGAGAAAACCGGAGGACTTGGAGAAAACAATGCCAAAACATGTACAATTTTAATCTAAAAAACATTCCATCTTCAGTTTGTGTGCTTGCTGCAACACTCCAGTTTTGTGCCCTTCTTTTGGCATTGGTGGGCATTAACTCATGCTAATTAGGTACAGCTGGCCCAAGCCTGCCATTTACGAGAAAATGAAATTACCAACACCAGTGCGAACATTTGAACGGGTTGGGAAAGACTGGTGAATCGGTGGGAACACATTGACCAAAGTCATTACTCGGATGATTTCCATCAAGACATAGTCGGATAAATTTAGTGCGACAGACTCACTTGTTTCCGTCTTAACTGAGATACCATATACACGTTCAGAAATCTAACCTGAATAAGAAAACTGGACTGAATGGTCAAGGTCAATTAGGAAATGATAGGCTGAGCAGCACTCAGTCTGCCCCAGCTTCTCCTGTGAGACCCACTTTTGCTACAGGGTCAGGAAAGAGGGGACTTGACATAAAATGATGGATTCTTCTAAGTGAGAGAAAGAGAGTGAGAGAGAGGAAAGAGAGAGACAGACAGAGAAAGAAATTCTAGATGCCACTGAACTATTGGACTTAGTTTTGGCTACTGGACGTCTGTGTGAGCTGTGAGCTTTCAAAAGCGGCCCCATCAAAGCCCAAAACAAAAGACACATTTGCAACGCAAAGCATCAGCCCTGAGGCGCCACAGAGGAAATCGCTTTCCAGGATATCGTGAGCAGTACCGACTGGCGGTGGTATCACACAAGTCAGAAGCTAATAGACGTGTGTCTCCAGTCGTTGAGACACGAGGCAGAGACTCCGGCAAAATACAAAAAAAAAAAAAATGACGGAATAATATCTCGCTCTTCAATCTGCACACTTCGGGTGTGTTCAATAGTCTGAGTGTGTGATATTTCATTGTCCATTGCACATATATGATACATGCAAATGTCAAGGGAATCGATATACAATGCTTAGAGTCACTCTTTCTCGTACACCACAACCAAGTAAGAAAAGATTCACCTCTTGGTGAACTCTTGCTGTTCCATCACTGAAAGGCAAGGAGACATTTGGGGGAGTGGAGATGACCGCATCCTCCCTACTGGGACTTGTATGAACCAATCAGGTGGCAAAGTGTTGCGTGTATGAATTTAAAAGGTGAATGTGTCAACACAGCAGGATGGTAAACGTTCATCAGAAAGGAGTTTCGACTCATGTATTGTGTATTATTTTGTCGGAGACGCCAAATTTAAAAGCCTGCCAAAATCCAAAGATGGCAGTGCCCCGGATAGAGGCGCTGGCTCACGATAAGAGTGCAAACAATAACAACCGCAGTTCTACAGTAGAGTGACTTATAATCCAGTCAACGCATTCGGGAACTGCACAAAATGTGTTTTTGGTGGGAAGCCGCATGTGGAAAACTATGGCCCTTTAGTTACGGGAGAGCTCACTGGAACTGAATGTGAATAAAACCAACGAGCTGTGCTGTGGGGGAAGCCGGACCCGTTGACACACCGCATCTACTCCGTAGTTTTTGATACCTTGGGATGGAGACCGACTTTCGTCTTCCACGCAGCAAATGGATGAGCTTTACAAAAAGGATCAGCACTGCATGTTTTAAGGCACGGGTGTTAAACTCATTTTTGTCTCCGGCCTGATTTTAGTTACAGTTTCCCTTGGAGGGCCGTTATGACATATAAAGAAGTCAAGAATAACGTTTTGTTCACCTATTGTTTAAGTTACTGTCATGAGGGTTTTGGTAACAAGAAAATTACATGAGAATTTAAAATTTTGGTAGACAGTTTAGAAAGGATCATGGAAGTTGACATGTTTGAGCTGCTTTCGCGGGCCGCATAAAATGATGTGGCGGGCCAGATCCGGCCCCCGGGCCTTGCGTTTGACACCAGTGTTTTAAGGGAGTTTTCGCATCGGACAAAACATCAAAACGGTGTATCGCGGTCACTCATTGAGCCCGTTCTCAGATTTAGCATCACATCCTTACAATACAAAGCAAAGGAACAAACACGCCAGCATGATCAAACAAGCAGTAAACATCCCTAACGTCTCTCCGACTTCTCTCCCTGCCCTGAACATTCACGCGGTACAAAAGGAAGCAGTCTGCATCGCCAAGGACTTGTCACATCCCTTCATCACTCTTTTAAGTGCCTCCCTTCAGGCGAACCATTTCGTGTACATCTGGCCAAAAAGAAAACTTGCTACGACTCTTATTTCAACGGCAATGTTGCCTTTTATTTCGCGTGTCACGACTGCAAGAATGTTAACCCTTTTTAGCTGTATGCGCTTTTATGTATTTGAAGTATGAATGTTTTGTGCTCTCCCAAGCTTAGACAAAAGTCAATTCATGACAGGATGGGAAAGACACATTTTTTTCTTTGTTTTGCAATGTGTTGTAGATTTCATGGCAGTATAGTAAAAATCGAGTGCGTTTTATGGACAGTCTGGTGAGCTATAATGTATGTCTGTCTTTGCGGGAGGCAATTGATTGTTCTTACCTTGAGGGTCATCTTGGCAAGTAGATCCTGCAGGTCCATAATGCCTTGCACCAGGCTCAAGAAATCACTGCAGGTTGGGCAGGCTGAAAGAAGAGAGTGCAAACACAGCCGAAAAGATAAAAGCATCCAACTGATGGTGCAATTTAGACACAGATCAATAGTCAACAAAACACATGTCTCGGTCACATTGTTTTTGGCTTGTGGGAGCGATCGGCCTAATAGCCACTCTAGAATTATGTGCCATATTCTACTGATCAGGCTTTGGATCTCGAGTTTACAGATTGAAAACTGGGCGGGAAGACGACCATGGGGAAATTAGCATTCGTTTAGAAGAATGGCCATTTTTCCTCTTTAAAATTATATTGATGACCACCATCATATCAAAGTCCAGTTTCGTCAAGGCAAGAGTTCATGAAACACAAATGTAATATACGCTTATGTTTCATCGAGACACTTACTGCGGTTAAGGTTTGGGCACTGGCTGATGTAGCCGTTGGGAGCAAAAACAAACTTCACATCCTGGATAACGCCCTGACAAGACAGAAAGAGAGAGATCCACGGATTAGATTTTTTTTCTTTCCCCCACTATTGATCCATCAGGTCCCCCTTTGCTTGATGTTTATCAGTAGGTATCTTCACACGTCAGATGTTGAGTTTCATGTTTAGATCAAATAATTCACTGCAAATGAAAGACAATGCTCGCTACAGTGCCAATAGAACATGGAATTCATTTGCATGACACAGGGCCACCGCCTCCACAAATTAAGCTACTTTCAGCACGACAACGAGGGTGTGTGATATCGCTCTTGATGAAAAGTTTTTCAAGGACATGTTTTTAAGACACCCGGGATCTGTTTTCAATGGTGAAAAAAAAAAAAATGAGAACGTCTACCCTTAAGTACACACGCATCACGTTCAGAATTGGAAATCTCCTCAAAATGTGTCAATACAATGCAGCACTCCTTGAAAATAAAATGAAGGAAAAAGTACTTTGCTGTACAAATTTAGTGCATCTACAACTGACCAGATGCTGGCCAGTCTGCCAATCATCATGAATGACAAGTCACATCCAGCAGTACACGGCTCCTAAATAGGAGCCATTATGACAACCACAGGGAACAAACTTGGGGTGGGCGGGGTGCAGACGACATCTTTTGGGAAAACCAATCTTGTAAATCCCCCTCAAGCAGACTCACACAATTTGCCCTTAAAATGGGCTGCTGAAAACATTAAAATGTGTTATTTCCACCACTTGCCACCAACCTTCCCTTGCTTGAGATATGCGTGAAATCCATTCACATTGCATTTGCGTGGCCTTGATGCAAGCAACACCTTGCCGCTGTATCTTGAGGGAGAGCCACGAGATGAACAGAATGGCAGCACGGATTGAGACCACATTCACACACACACACACACACACACACACACACACACACACACACACACACACACACACACACACACACACACACGGGCTGAGCACACAGTTCGACTGCACTTTGCCCTCGATTTGCGCTGGGCCCACTGACTCAATATACTGTGAGATCGTCATGAATACTGTTGAGGGAACTAAATTATAGCACGTGGGTCATACAGGACACAGGTGTGCTTCTACGTCCAGAAATAGTAAGACAGTATTACCTCTAGCCACATGTGTTCTAGTATCAGAATCCTTTTCATGTCCGGTAATTTTATTGCTCGCGGTAGAGATGTTTAAATGTGATTGTACAGTGTCTCGAACAATCAATAAAAAAACGTAAACAAAGAGACTCTGTACAAAGTGTTAAAAGATTGAGAAGTGGCAGAAGGAAGCAAAAGCCTATCTTGTCTTGTCGCTTCCTTACGATCCAAATCTGGGGGGAACCCTCAACCTACCCGCAGAAAACTCTCATAAGAAAATGGCACGTAACTGCACAAGAGTCCCTGAGCCAAGATTCTAGCCTCTCGGCAATGAGGCATGCCATCTAACCTCGTCCCCGCCGTCCTGGCCTGTCGATTAAATAATGAAGAACATTTGTAATATAAGTATCCAATTTCAATCTCTAAATGTGTGGGCGACTAAATGTGTTTTCAGTCATACTGTGGCTATTAAGAGACCTGCTGAACTGAACACAAAAAAAATTTAATAATTTTCTCTCCGTGGTATGAATTAGGGCTGACAGTACTAGCCATCACCATTAAAAGTTTGACACTGCAAAAACTTTAAATACGATGAGCAGAGATAGCTCAAACTAAACTCGGTGCTGTGTTTCACCTAATTGTGACGTTTGAAAAATGTCAGTGAAATAATTTGGATTTTCATATTATTCATCCAACACTGATGTGAACCAGTTCGCAGGAACTGTAGTTCTTTAATTAAATCTTAATGTCATTGCTACAGTCAGGGCCTGATTTACCAAAAAGTTTGCGATTCAACAAGGGACGCAAACTTGATTGCTTGATAATCTGAAATGGTGACGTATCAGATCTGATCTACTTGCCGGGAACAAAGTGGGGGTTGGCTTCCTCAAAGATATGGTACAGTATACCTATTATTTGAAATACATTTGTATAAAAATTTTTTTTACGACCAGCCCTTTGTTATGTTTCCTTTTAACTAATGAATGGTGTGTATGTAATAACTCATTTTTACTCACATTAAATGCTCTTTAAAATGAATCCAAATACCATGGATCTGTTCATTCCAGCCACCCCACCCCCAAAAAACAAAAATCTGTATTGTATAAAACCAAAATGAAACCTAATAAAAAAATTAAAAAAAAAGAATGTAAAAAAAAGTTTGATCTAGCCAAAATTTTGGCTTGCAAAAAAAAAAAAAAGACCAAACAACTTCAAACAAACAAACCAAAAAAAAATCAAGGTGCCACTGCAATAGGATCTCTTTTTGATGTACTGTATCATATAAGACAATCTGACCAGCTCATTTGCAATTAATGAATATTTAATATGTCAGAACTGATAGCGGCACAGTGAACTTTTTGACACTCCAGCAAAAAGATGAATGCGAGTTGTAGAAAGCAGATCCCATGTCTAGGGTTGACTCTTGTCGATGTATGACCCGCCCTTGCAGCACACTGAGCAACAGGTTCAGGATTCAAGGTGTTACAAGCACACCTGTCAGCCAACATGTCAACCCCAACCATCGAAAAGCTGCAGGGGAAATTTCCGCTTTTCCTCCGTCACTTCACACCAACCAGTTTCCACGCCATCTGTCTCTTTGCTGACAATGACTTTTAAGCAATCCTTGCACGCGGAGCGGCAACTTTTCAAGCACGAAACCAAAACCGTGGGTAGGAAATTGCTGAATCTTTCAAGACCAGAGCTTTCAAGTAGAAGGATCCTCTTAACGTCTACAAAGAGGTGAATGAGGAGCCGGCGGAGGGAGCTGAGACGACGGCCTTCAGATTCCAAGCAACATCATTTACACCACACCGGAGAGTGGAGGCTAATCAATATGTAGGAGTGAGGAAAAAAACAAAGTCTATTGATTGAGTGGGCAGGGATGTGGTTTCAACAAGAACAAAATCATATCTCTGACACAATCTGGCATGTCCTTTTGGCTGCTCTGAGCAAATGCAGCAGGGTGAGAAAATGAGCAGTGATTAAAGATCGACATTGTAATGAGCTTGGGAATAAGAGTTTCAAAGCACACACTGCGCTGGATGCGGCTCCTCTTGAAGCCCCCCTCGGTACTTCTTCTTGTGTCTTCTACCGGGCTCCCTTTCCACTTCCAAGCCCAGTGCAAATCTGCCCAATTATCCCAGGCAACTTTAAATGTGAAGCACGTTAAGCTCCAACGAGGGAATTGCAGGACTGTGGATGCATCTTCGTCTGAGTCTCACCTTGAACAGGCCGTGTTTGTGGCCGTGCTGGCCCAGCCAAACGCCGCTTCCCGGCGTGAGTTCCATCTGAGGAGGGTCGATCACTCGCTCATAAATCCTGTCAAGACAAAAGACAAACAAACAAAAAATTGGATGTGAATACCTCGCACCCCAGTACAGAGTAAATCACTCTTAAAAAGCATTTGTTTTCTCTGTACGTGTTTAGAATACGGTTCCCTCAATCGCATTAGCACCATGTATCACCCTGGCCGACTGTTTTTTTTCCAAAAATACTTGAATGGTTTCGTGGCAATTCTGTTTCTTTGAATTAGCTCTAGTTCTAGAGAAATCATATTTGTGACAATTTTTTGATTGACAATACATTTAGGGATATCAAAAATGACATTTGCTGTCTAATAAAAGTGAAGCAACATTGTTGTTTACTGCTAATATTGCCTGATTTTCTGAATTCTTGCTTGATTTTCACTTGAAACGATTTGCATATAGAAGGCTCTCTGCAATTTGCATTGGCCTCTTTCTCATTGCATCAAAAATGAACGAATGCTCTCTGGACCTGCTTGAAAAGACAAATAAAGCCTCAGAGTTGGGGCACAAAGAGAATACCAATGTCAAAATGTGCATATTTTCAGCACTTTTGTGAAACAAAAACACAGAATGTGTCAAAAACTTGTGCCAATTGGGAAAAAAACAAAAAACAATGTCATTTGGGGATTCGGCAAGATTAAAAAAAAAAAAAAAACCTTAAACCGCTGAAATTTTATTGGCACCAAAATGTGCTGACCAGTGTTATCAGAGTGAATAATATGAATGACCAATAAAGTGTCAATGCTTTCAAAATACAGATTTTTTTTAATGTTTTTTTGCCATAATCGATGATTACGGTCTTTCAAACAAACCACTTTTAAAATCCAAAATAAATTCTCAAGTATTTTGTATGAGAAGGGAAGACTGGCGATGGGACGGAATTTGTTGATACTTTGATTTACAGATGGGTCAATAAGTCTAGAACCATAGAACGTGTTCAGAACTTGAGATCTAAAGGTGAAAGGGTCCAAGCTGGAAAACTGGAACGTATTAAAGTAGTAATGTTCTGCTGTCTGTTGCTTGCATCCCAAAGAAGTTGATCTGGATGTACAGCCAGGAGTTTTCCCCGGAAGTCTCTAAAGTAGATTTTAGTTATGGACCTGAAGTTGTACACTGACAAATTCCTGATTCAACAGAAGATCAACCAGAAGTTGATGTTAACCTGGATTATCAATGATTTGTGCTTCACAGGAAAAGCTCACTTTCTCTTCTCTGGTCAGGTAAACAATCAAAGCAATGTTCTCGGGTACAGCACACCCACAGTAAAGCAAGGGACTTATATACGTTCCAATCATTGTGGGTCGGATTGGATGTTACGGTCTGCGCTGTGTTTCTTTCAATCATGGGGTATTCGTTGCGTTTAATGAGAGGACCTGGTGTTGCCGTCCTTCATGGAGATAATACTGAAGGAACGGGTGGATTAAGTTGGGTTGAGTCTTGTAGAGAGCCTTGAGAAAAGGGTCCTTCATTTATGGTCAGTGTCCAGTTTTCACCTGAACTGTCGTGCATTAGCGTTCATGCAACGGAGATCGGGGCAAACGGTCCTGGTTGGGTGAAGGACACATTTTATTTAATTTCTTTTCACAGAAGCAACAGAATACAGTACATGCCTAAGACCAGTGATTTCATGACAGATGAGCTCACAACACCAAAAAAAGCAACATTAGTTAGCTCAATAACGTACCTTAGCCATTTTGCTAGGGGAAATTGATGGTGAGTGTTCGCAATTTAATCTGAATATTCAAATGCCTCTGGACATCAGTTATAATGATGCCCTGACGACGGCACGAGCACGGGCCAAAATTGCGGAGGCCGTTTTTCTTTTTTTTTTTTCCATCAGCATAAAAACGCTGATCCACGGAGGACAGTGGGCACTACCTCGACCAGATAAATCACAAAAACCTTTTTTCATAGCTGTGGGGGTTTGCTTCCAAAACAGACTAGAGGACAAAAAGTACAATTTGTAAGACAGAAAGGTCAGCAGTGCAGGTAATTGCCCATAACAGTCCCATAAACGTTTCTTCGTATACGGTAAATTACAACTAGGTTTATGCTTTCACCTCAAGCGTGTTATCGAGCCCAGTTAAACTGCATTCTTGTTGAACATTGAATAAAATCCTCACAGTAGAAAACGTGGGGGAGATGCTAATCCCGCACTGAACAGCTCAGACCACCAGCTCCGTCAGCTTTAAATTCAGTGCTGTGTACGCATATGGGCTGACCTACAACAGTTCTCACAACCTCTCAAACTAAAACCACATCTTACGCAAGCAATCAAAATGTATGATAAGATGAAGTCAGGCAACTAAATTCACATTCGAACCTTCGAACACATTCGAAGTATTTCCTCAGCCGAACATGCAGATTTTTGTAATGTAGGAGGAAAGCGGAGTATCCAGAGAAAACTCATGCAAGCCAAAGGAGAAACATGGCGACGACACACAGGAAAGCTCGAGTGAAAATGCACTCCAAAATCTTGAGGAGCTTCAACTGTCATCATGCATGCGTCCAGCATACAACAGGAGCTGTCAGTGCACCTCAGTCCATCTGAAGTGTAGAGTCTGCTACTGTAAACTGATGACCCACCTCATTATAACTCATTTTAATACATTTCAAAATAACTCAGTGTTTTCCTCTCTTTCGATTTTTCTTTTTTTTTTTTTTTTTTTTTTTTTTTTTTAAGTGTGCGCGTGTGAGTGTGACGCAGCGTTAGTGCCGTTTCTATGGTTTTGCTCCCGTTCCATTGAGCTCGACAGTGTTTTTATGTGACATTTGACAAGTGGGGCATTGGGTGCCAATGAGCGTTGATACGTTAGCAACTTGTGCTAGCCACTAGCTAGCTGTAAAAAGAAATCAAAGCCACAAGTGATTGAGTGTCAGAAAACGTGTGACTGTCATTGACTTGAACAGTAAACGATGACAAAAACTTTGTTTAGGTTTAGATTTTGTTTTTTTTATCATCCATCCATCCATCCAACTATCGATCCATCCACCCATTTTCTGAACCGTATGTCCGAACCAGAGTCATGTGCGTATAGGAACCTAAAAGGGAAGATTGCAAGACTTCTGACTCCAAACATTCATCATCAGGTTAGTGGAAGACATTTTTTTTCTCACAGGCACAGTACCTATAACATATTCGGTGGGGTTGTCTTTGAGTAATCGAGCAAAACGCAATAGCTAGCCTACCAGCTAACGTCATCTTTACAGTATGCTATCCGTCTGAGAATTAAAAGAACACATCTGTGCCACCAATGCAAGCAACAGTCAAGTAGATGAATTCTTAACTACTGTTTTGAGCTTCCCCGAAGTCTCTCAACTTAGCGGTTGGAATTAAATCACAGTTAACGTCTCTCTTTAAAGCAACTGACCTTGCGTCGTAACATCTTTTTTTCAACCAGCGCTTGACATCTTCAAACTATGGCGATAAAAGAGGCTGATATGATCATTCAAGCCATTCCATCTGTTTTCTCAATTGCTCCTCCTTGGTCAAATGACGCAGACAGGTTTGTTTACCTGTGTTTCCATCAGACCTATTGCCGAATTGGAAATACTGTGATGTGATGGTGAAAAGGTCCGTTAACATACAATAACCATTTTTTGAAAATGCACAACTACAACTTTTAAACCACCCTGATTTTATCATGCATGATGCATTGTGTGTATGCATACAATGATGTATTCTATGTATTTATGCTAGTTGCTTGACACTTAGGAGCCGTTCAAATGTGTTGTGAACATGCCAATGTCTTCCCATCTGGACAAGCTGCCACTGTAGTAAAGAATGTAGAGGTCAGGTGATTTTACTCTATTTTGTCTCCCCCTAATCTTTCGCGTCTTCACTCCCATCCCCTCTTGTCAACAGCTAAGCAGCGGGGAAGGTTTTCACAGAGGAAACGTTAGCGCACCGTGACGCCAATTAAAACAGCAATGTGCTAAGGGGCATGTTTGCATCGTCTGACGTTAGCAGCAGCACCCATCAACGGCTAATTACAGAGACTCTTCACCAGTCGACATACTGTACAGCGCGATTAACAATGCTCTTTTATCACCATGGTGCCGGTTTCAGTGGGTAACAGATCATGTTAGCAACCACAATGCCATAATGAGAAGAAAATTTCACCCAAAAAATGTTTTGCATCACTGCGCAAAACAACTTGTAATTTTCTTTTATTCGATGTGAAGAAGATATTATAGGATCACAAACTTTGAATCAAAATGAATTTAAACTCTTAGCGGAAGGAAATGCAGCATTTGTATGGAAGGCGATAATATTACACCGTTTCTCACGATTTGGAGGTTGAATACATCCGTCCATCTATTTTCCGACCTGCTTTATCCTCACGAGGGTCGTGGGCATCCTGGAGCCTATCCCAGCTGTCTTTGGGCAGTAGGCGGGGGACACCCTGAACCGGTTGCCAGCCAATCGCAGGGCACACAGAGATGATCAACCATCCGTGCTCACACTCACACCTATGGACAATTTAGAGTGTTCAATCAGCCTGCCATGCATGTTTTTGAATGTGGGAGGAAACCGGAGTACCTGGAGAAAACCAACGCAGGCCCGGGGAGAACATGCAAACTCCACACAGGAAGGCCAGAGATGGAATCGAACCCTACACCTCTGCACTGGGGCTGACATGCTAACCAGTTGACCTCCGTGCCACCCAAGGTTGAATATAGACATTTTACAATACATCACTAGTATAAAAAAAGGAAAGGTTCACATGAATGTAATGTCATTTCCCTATTCGATAAACAGCGTGGCCTAGGTTTACCAAATCGGAAAAGGTTGATCAGTCAACTACAACTACAGCAAACTATGGAGCAGACCCAGACAAATCACACCATACAACAAAATAGGGCAGTTGTGTTCCACTTTTACACAGCTTCCCTTTTGACCGTTATCGTTGTTTGCGCACGTGCGTATGAAAATGACCCACATCTCACGTCAGACATCAGAGGCAGGAAGGTGACTGTCTTGGTCATCATTCCTGAGACAGAGCAAAACAG